GGGAAAGGAGCGCGGCGATGGCGACGAAGAAGGATTCGGATCCAGAACAGTGGCTCGTGCTGGAGCGAGACCGCCATCCTTCACGACGAAAGCAAAGCGTCTCTCCTAAATTGAGGACAACGCTGCAGCGGGAGCACAATTTTGAGACAACGAAAACGCTCCGAATGCAAAAAGCAGCATGGAATACCGGTACCCGATGCCATGCATGTAAAAAACCTACGCGGGGCGGGTGCAATATCCATTGAACGTTTTCGGGGGGAGAGGAGAGTAGTATTCAGATTGGGTCGTTGAACAGAGGTGGGTGAAGGAGGAACGCAAAATACAAGGACGAGGAGGAGAAGGATGGATGCTCAGAACGACAACGACGACGTCGACAACGATAACGACGACGGCGACGGCGACGGCGACGGCGACGGACACGACGGCGGCGGAGGCGGCGGCGGCGGCGGCGGCGGCGGCGGCGACAACGACGACGACGACGACGACACCTCCCCACAGGGGCTCGCCACGCCGCGGCCGCCCCCGCACCCGCCCCCGCGCCGCGCGGAGGGGGGCGCGGCGGCGCCACGGAGGCCCTCTGGCCGGGCGCCCCGCCCGCCGCGGGGCGCCCTCGTGTGGGGGGAGGGAGGGAGGAGGAGGGGAGAGAGGGAGAGGAGGAGGAGTAGGAGGAGGAGGAGGAGGAGGAGGAGGAGGGGGAGGAGGAGAAGGAGGAGGAGGAGGAGGACCAGTGTAAACCCAAGAGTCACCAACGATGTTTGAAGAAACCCTCCCCCCAAGCTCCCCCTTCATAGGCCCCTACAACGGTTCATTTCCACAGAGGGACCTGCCTCGTTGGAAGACAACCGTTTGAACACCCTGAAGCATGCCAAAACATTATTCTCGGCAGTCCAAAGCCACGGATGAACCTGACTATTGCGTCTTGACGATCCTGAATCGTGCCAGAACGCTTTCCTGTATTCTCAACTCCGCGAATCATCCTAGCCGTTGTGCCCTCAAAACCGTGAACCCTTCCAAAACGCCATTTCTGGTACGTCGATCATGGGAATCCGTGACACCCTTGCAATATTGTGTCCAGAGTGTGCGCGGTGCTAAAGCGAGAGCCACATTTTGAAAAAGAACCGCCTTCAATCCGATGAAGCCCTTGCAACTGTTTAAAGCGAATGTGCGCGGCGCTAAGGCGAGAGCCACATTTTGAAAAGGACCCGCCCTCAACCCGTGAAACTCTTGCACATGTTGAGAACGAATGTGCGCGGCGCTAAGGCGAGAGCCACATTTTGAAAACCACCCGCCCTCAATCCGTGAAACTCTTGCAACTTGTTAAAACGAATGTGCGCGGCGCTAAGGCGAGAGCCGCAGTTTGAAAACCGCCCGCCCTCCATCTGTGAAGCTGTTGCCACTTGTTAAGCTTCAGGGTCATAAGTGGTGAGGCTGTCTCAGGCGAAACGCCCGGCCCGCCCTAAAAACTGGCCTCGGGGTGCGACAGGGAAAAGTTATTTATAAGGAGAAGGAAAAAGAGGAGGAGGAGGGGGAGGAGAAGGGGGAGAAGGAGGAGGAGGTGGAGGAGGAGGAGGAGGAGGAGGAGAGGTGAGGGAGGAGGGGGAGAGGAGGAGCAGGAGGAGCAGAGGAGCAGGAGGAGAGGGAAGAGGAGGAGAGGAGGAGGAGGGGAGGGAGGAGGAAGGGGAGAGAGGAGAAGGAGGAGGAGCAGGAGGAGGAGGAGGAACGAGGATCGAGGATCGAATGTCAAGGAGGAGAAGGAGGAGGAAGAGCAGCAGCAGGAGGAGGAGGAGGAGGAAGAGGAGGATCGATGATTGATGAGTTTCGGGGATCCGGGAGGAATAAGGATCGAGGAGCGGGGCTTGAGGAGGAGTAGGAGGAGGAAGCGTCGGGGGTATGGGGAGGGGGTGGGGGGCGGCGGGAATGTTACCATTCGAATGCCAGGCTCGGTGTCGAGGACCCCTCAGACGAACGTGGTACCCTTGGCAGCTGCGGAGGGTTGGCGACACAGCCCTGCGGTGCAGAAGTCAGCCCAACGAGGAAGCGAGACTTCGCGCCTGCGGCTCGTGGGACGTCGTGTTTCTTCCAGTAGTGCGCGGTACAGCTACAAGAGGAACGATTATGGCTTGCGGACTGGCTGCCATTGTACAAAGCTGTCGAGCGGGGGGCTTCCGACAGGAGAGGTCCAGGGGATGGTAGCCAGGGGCGCGGGGCGGGCCTAGCGCTGTCTCTCGTGGTGCGCGTGTTAGCCACCGTGGACCCCAAACAGTGCAATTGTAGAAACAAGGGAGGTGCGATATACATGGTGCAAGGTGTGTATATGCATGTGTGCGTGGGTGGTACAACCTATGTTGTGCCATACATGGTGTTCTGATGTGGAGCAATGTGTGTGGTCCCATATATGGTGTGTCAGATGTGGTGTGCAATAGATATTGTACAATCTATGTTGTGCACTATACGTTGTGTAACCGACGTGGTGGAATAGAAGCAGGGCCGTCTACGCGGCACTATATTTAGGTGATGCCGCGCATGCGGCGCACTGTATGGTATGCAATAGATGTGGCGCGTCGTGTATGGTGCCATTTGTGTGGTGCAATCTACCTGGAGCAAAACATGTAGTGCAGATTATGGTGTCCAATACAAGTGTATACCCCCCCCTCCAAGATCACTTCTCCGTTCCTTCTCTTCCTCCTTCTCCGTTCCTTCTCTTTCTCCTGTCCCTTTCCTCCTTCTCCAAACACAATTCCTTTTCCTCCTGGCCAATCATCCTTCTCCTCCTTCTCCTTTCCGTTCCCTCCTCTCTGCAGCAAAGCAATACCAAGAATGTATTGTGTGTGGCGCCCCCCCGGAGCAAGGAAACGCTGTGTATATTTGTTTGGTGTTTGGCTTTGTTGGTCTGGGATGCAAGGAAGCATTGTGTATGTTTGGTTATGTTGTTTTTTTTGTTTGGGAAGCTCAAGTGCTCCCCGCGGCTTCTGCCCCAGCACCTCCTCCTTCTCCCCCTTCCTCTTTCCCCCTCCTTCTCCTCCTTTCCTTTCCTCCTCCTTGTTGCAAAGCAAGAAAACCAAGAATACACAATGTTTGACGCCCTTGGTGCAAGGAAACGCTGTGTATGTTTGGTTGGTTGGTTTGTTGTGGTCTAGGATGCAAGGAAACACGGTGTATAGTATGTTATTTTGTTTTTTGTTTAGGAGCCCCGGAAGAAAAGGAGGAGGAGGTGCTGGGGAGAGGCAGCGGGGAGCACCTGAGCTTCCAGAACCCCCCCCCCCCAAAAAAAAAAAAATGATGTTTCCTTGCATCCCAGACCCCCAAAAAACAGAAAAGCCAAAAATACACAGCGTTTCCTTGCTCCGAGGGCGCAAAACACTGTGTAGTCTTGGTTTTGTGTTGCTACAGAGAGGAGGAAACGGAAAGGAGAAGGAGGAGAAGGATGATGTGCGAGGAGGAGAAGCAATTGTGTTTGGAGAAGGAGGAAAGGGACAGGAGAAAGAGAAGGAACGGAGAAGGAGGAAGAGAAGGAACGGAGTAGCAGAGAGAGGTATGATCTTGGAGGGGGGCGACCATAATAATATACATATGTATATAGATACATACATATGTATATATAGGTATACATGTAAATGCATGTAATTGCATACATGTGTTGTTGTGCACCGAATGCGTCGCGATATATGTTGCGCAATGTGGAAACATACTATACATATATATATATATGTGTTTATATGTGTGGGTTGCGCAATAAATGTTGCACAATATAGGCTGTTCAATATATGTGGCGCAACACATGCAGCACAATCTATGTGGTGCAATCTTTGCTGTGCTATATCTCTGGGGCAACCTCTGTGTCGGCGACTGGGCGGCGACGGCGGCAACCTAGCCGCCAGACCGACAGAAGGATCCAGACGACGGGCGGCGACGGCGGCAACCTAGCCGCCAGACCGAAAGACGGGCCCAGACGACGGGCGGCGACGAAGCGGCGACGGCGGCAACATAAACGCCACACCGACTGGCAGGCCCAGACGACGGGCGGCGACGATGCGGCGACGGCGGCTACATAGCCGCAAGACCGACACGTAGGCCCAGACGACGGGCGGCGACGAGGCGACGACGGGGCGGCGATGGCGGCTGCATAGCCGCAAGAGCGACACACCCGACCAACTCCTCAGAACAGAAGTAACAGAAGTAAGAATCCCTCAATGCAAGCACTGCTGGGGGAATGTAAAGCACCATATATGTGTATCTAGGTGTGAAAGATATACGACTGGTAACTGATGTATTGTTGGTCATGTAAAGAATCAGAGGGCCGGAGAGACGAGGAGGAGGAGGAGGAGGAGGAGGAGGAGGAGGAGGGAGAGGAGGAGGGAGGGGAGGGGGAAGGGGGAGGGGGAGGGGAGGGGTGGGGAGGGGGAGGGGAGGTGAGGAGAGGGTAGGTGGAGGGGGGGCGAGGGAGGAGGAGGAGGGAGGGAGAGGAGGAGGAGGGGGGTGGGGGGGGGGGCGGAGGAGGAGGAGGAGGGAGAGAGGAGGAAGAAGAAGGGAGGGAGGGAGGGAAGAGGACGAGGACGAGTGAGCATGAGGGGCTCTGCGAGCTCCCAGGCGACGGCTTGGGGAGAGGAGGAGAAGGACTGTCACCCACCCAGACACACACACACAGCAAAACAAGGACACATCCAACACATCCATACACACAGTCAACAACAAACAGCAGCACAACTCACCAACAGCCAAAAAAACAGCTAAAGGCAAAGACCCAAAGGCAACACACACACACGCACACACACACACACACACACGCTTACACAAACAACCAAACCAATAAGCAAGCAAACAAGCAAGCACGCCAACTCAACAACCACAACAACAACAACAACAAAACAACAAAAAATAACAAAACATCAACAACAACAAAAAAAAAAAAAAAAAAAAAAAAAAAAAAAAAAAAAAAAAAAAAAAAAAAAAAAAAAAAAAAAAAAAAAACACAATAACAAAAACGGAGCGCCCGCGCTGCCCGGAGGTCTCCGCAGCCGCTCCCTCCCCGCGCGTGGCTCCGCGGCGCGCTCCCGCCGCTGCCAGCCGGCCTCGATCACCCCCTGCGCTTCTGGCGGCGCCTCCTGCCGCGGCGCACAGCGGTCAAGTCGGTCGGCCGCGCCCACGAGGCCGCCGTCCGCTGCGAACCGCGGGGGAGAGGGACCCTCTGGGTCGGGCTTCCTTCCTCCTCCCCTCTCCTCCTCCTCCTCCTCTTCTCCTCCTCACTCCTCCTCACTCCTCCTCTTCCACCTCCCCTCCGCCTCGCCTCCTCCTCCTTCCTCCTCCTCCTACCTCCTCCTCCTCCTCTCCTCCTCCTCCTTCCTCCTCTCCTCCTCCTCCTCCTCCTCCTCCTCCTCCTCCTCCTCCTCCTCCTCCTCTCCTGAAGTCGGGCATATCCCTCTACAGGAGGAATATTCAAGAAGAGTCCAGACATAGTCCGGGGACGATGTCTCAACGATTTTTTTTTTATTTGACTATGTTTCATTTTTCTTCCAACATCCGCCTGTAGGAGGACATGCCCGACCTGAGTCTGGGCGCTGCATTCGGGCCCCGGGCCATCACAGATTGATGCGGCTTGAAAGATAGCGCAGAAATTCGGGGTCCAGGGTTCCAGTCGTGCTTTCTCCCGCGATTTTGATTCCAGTTTTGTTCGCAGCGTCGGATCTCAGGGGATGAGTTTGGCGGAATCCATTGGCCGACAGTCGGAGGCGAGCATCCCGACCCCGCCCTGGACGGCAGAAGCGCTCCTGGGGCGGTCCAGGAGGCAGGGAGGGAGGAGGAGCAGGGAGCAGGGGGGGCAGGGAGGCGGGGAGGGAGGCGGGAAGGGAGGGAGGAGGGAGGAGGAGGGGGGGGAGGCGGGACGGGAGGCCTCGAGCCCTCCCGAGGTCCCCAGAGGCCCCCCGGAAGTCCCTGGAGGAAGCCTCCGGAAGCCTGCAGAAGCCCAGCAGGGGCCGCCCACTTCCCGGGCGCTCACGAACCTCGATCCCACTCGATATACCCCTCCTCGTCCTCGTCCTCTTCGTCGTCGTCGTCGTCCGTCGTCCGTCGTCGTCGTCGTCGTCGTCGTCGTCGTCGTCGTCGTCGTCGTCGTCGTCGTCGTCGTCGTCGTCCTCGTCGTCGTCGTCGTCGTCGTCCTCGTCCTCGTCCTCGTCCTCGTCCTCGTCCTCGTCGTCTTCCTCGTCCTCGTCCTCGTCCGTCGTTGTCGTCATCATCAAGAGCAACAGCAACAATTACAACAACAACAACAACCACAACCACAACCACAACAACAACAACAACAGCAACAATATAACAACCAAAACATCAGCAGCAGCAGCAGCAACAGAAACAACTACAACACAATCGCCGTCAGCATCATCATCACCAGCAGCCTCAGCATCCGCATGAGCATCATCATCATTATTGGCAGTTTCCTAATCCTATGCATCTTCAGTCTCATCATTGTCATCGTCGTCGTCATCGCCATCATCGTCGTCATCGTCATCTGCATCTTCATCAGCAGCAGCATCCTCAGCCTCATCAGCATCATCATCAGCAGCAGCATCCTCATCCTCATCCTCTCCCCTCCCTCTTCTCCTCCCCCTCCTCCTCCTTCTCTACGTTATCCTCCTCCTCATCCTTATCATCATCATCCTTCTCCTCCATCCTCCTTATACTCCTCCTTCTACGCTGGTCTCCTCCTCTCCCACCTCCTCCTCCTCCTCCTCCTCCTCCTCCTCCTCCACCTCCTCCTCCTCCCCCTCCTCCTCCCTCCCCTCCTCCACCTCCTCCTCGGCCTCCCCTCCACCTCCTCCTCCTCCTCCCCCCACCTCCTCCCTCCTCCTCATCCTCCTCCTCCTCCTCCTCCTCCTCTCCTCCTCCACCTCTCCTCCTCCTCCTCCTCCTCCTCCTCCCCCCCCCCCACCTCCACCTCCTCCTCCTCCTCCTCCTCCTTCCTCACTCCCCTCCTCCTCCTCCTCTCTCCTCCTCCTCCTCCTCCTCCTCCTCCATCCTCCTCCTCCTCCTCCTCCCCCCCCTCCTCTCATCCTACTCCTCCTCCCCCTCCTCCTCCTCCTCCTCCGTCTCCTCCTCCTCCTCCTCCTCCTCTTCCTCCTCTCCCCGCCTCCTCCTTCTCTCCTCCTCCTCCCTCCTCCTCCTCCTCCTCCTCTCTTCCACCTCGCTCCCCTCCTCCTCCCTCCTCCGCCTCCTCCTCCGCCTCCTCCTCCATCCGCCTCCTCCTCCCCCTCCTCCTCCTCCTCCTCCGCCTCCTCCTCTCCTCCGCCTCCTCCTCCTCCTACCCGACCCTCCTCCTCATCCTCCTCCTCCGCCTCCTCCTCCTCCTGCCTCGTCCTCCTCCACCTCCTCCTCCTATCCTCCTCCTTCCTCCTCCTACCTCCTCCTCCTCCTCATCCTCCTCCTCCGCCTCCTCCGCCTCCTCCTCCTCCTCCTCCTACCCCACCTACCCTCCCCTCCGTCCTCCTCCCCCTCCTCCACTCCTCCTCCGCCTCCTCCTCCTCCTCCTCCCTCCTCCTCCCCTCCTCCGCTCCTCCTCCTCCTCCTCCTCCTTCCTCCTCCTCCTCCTCCTCCTCCCCTCCTCCTCCCCTCCTCCTCCTCCTCCTCCTCCCTGCATCGCTCCTCCTCCTCCTCCTCCTCCTCCTCCTCCTCCTCCTCCTCCTCCTCCTCCTCCTCCTCCTCCTCCTCCCTCACCGGGGCCAAGCACCACCCCCTTCTAGACATCGCGCCCTGGGAAGCCACTGGGCCCCGTCGCCTGATCCGGCGCGGACAGCACCCCACGCCCTCTCCAGACAGTGGTGCGCCTTCCGCGGGTCCAGAGTGGTGCGCCGCAGGAGCGCGTGAGATTCTCACCAGTCCAAAGTTGCGGCTGTGGGCGCAGGTCCGCCCCATTCCAGGCCTCAGGGGCACAGAGCTCGTTGCATCAGAGGCCTTGCATCCCCTCACCAGCCCAAGGCCTCCAGACGCAGGACCAGTTCGATTCCTCGCCCTCCCAGGGCCCCAGGCCAAAGAAAGCGTGGCAAGGGCACGCGAGTCTCATCACGCCAGGCCACCAAGGTCCACGAGATGTTGCAAGGAGCGCACCAGGACACCGGCATCCTGCTATGAGGGGTCGCTGCTATGATCTGGCACTGTCGATGCACGCTTGCGCACCTGCTGGCAGCTCGTCTCTTCTCGGCCTTGCAGGCCAACTCTGCGCAGTGGGTCAACCAGCAGCAACATCTGCCAAGGCAGACTGTTTGGCGGATGCTCTCAGCGTGCTGTTGCGAAATGCCGTCGACAGCTCATATGTGCACCCGGCAGTTGCTGCTGATTTCGCCTGGCGGTTATTGGACACTTTGACGGACTGACCCGGCTGCCGATTCCCAACCACCCCTTTGGTTAGTGAGGGTGTGTGTCTCTTTTTTGCCAGTGTTTTCGAAAGCGCTTGGACATTGGTTTAGCACAGTTCCCAATCATAATTTAATTGAGTGTAGCATTGCATGCTTGAGATCCGTACTGTGTAGGCTCCAAGCTTAGCGTGCCGCGTGTTGCTATAGGCTGGCGCTCAAGGCGACCAGCCGTCGCACATTCGAGTGGGGCGACACAGCGAGCCATGCATTGATCAGAGTAGCATTCATCGTGTTCTTCTTGATTACCAGTTCCTTTTTCAGAGATGTTGTGTCTGAGTTTATGGAAGACGCCTACGGCGAATCACCGCCGCCCCCTGCCTTTTTGGAAGCGCCTATGTGGCCGAACGTTGAAGCCAGACCTGCCAAGCTATCGGACCATGTGTTCCCCGAATCGGTTTGGAAAGCCTTCGGGGAACACGTGGGCATCTTGAAGGTCATTTTGGCCGTCTGGAGGCCATTTTGACCCTTTCGGGCCTTCTTGGAGGACGTCTTGGAGGGCTCTTGAGCCGTCTTGGCGGCCATCTTGAGCGTCTTGGAGGCCTGGGCCGTCTTGGGGGCCTCTTGGGGCCGTCTTGGGCCTCTTGGGCGATCTTTGGGGGGCACTTGGGCCGTCTCGGGCCGTCGGAAGGCCGAAAAAAAAAGCAAAGGCCACAATCCTTCAAAAGCTCATGGGAAAGCAATGATTTTGGCCTTTTCGGGCCTTCCTGGAGGCCCTCTTGGAGGCCTCTTGGGCCGTCTTGGGCCATCTTAGGGCCATCTTCGGCCGTCTTGGTGGGCTCCTGGCCCGTCTGACGCCGTCGGAAGCCGTTTGGGGGGCCTCTCTGGGCCGACTTGGGGCCCTCTTGGAATGCTTCCAGGGCCGTCTTGGAGGCCATCTTGGGCGTCTTAAAGGCCTCCTGGGCCGTCTTGGGGGCCTCTTGGAGGCCTCTTGGGCGATCTTTGGGAGCTCTTGGGCCGTCCCGGGCCGTCGGAAGGCCGCAAAGAAGCAAATGTCAAAATCCTTCAAAAACCTCTGGAAAATCAATGTTTTTTGTTTTGTTCTGGCCTTCATGGAGGCCCTCTTGGAGGCCTCTTGGGCCAGCTTCGAGCCAACTTCGGCCATATTGGTGGGCTCCTGGCCGGTCTGACGCCGTCGGAAGCCGTTTGGGGGGCCTCTCTGGGCCGACTTGGGGCCCTGGTGCTCCAGGGCCGTCTTAGAGGCCTTCTTGGGCGTCTTGGAGGCCTCTTGGGTCGTCTTTGTGCCCTCTTGGGGCCATCTTGGGGGTATCTTGGGCAGTCCTGAGGCCATCTTGAGCTGTCTTGAGGGATTTTTTTCTGGATTGGGGATTTTCTGGGTGGGCGGCGGGACGCGCCGGAGCCCCAGGGGGAGTTCTTTTGGAAAAGAACCACAACCAAAAACGATTGGATTTGGCATGCCAGGCACCCCTCTTGCAAGCAACAGGGGGCGGCGGATTGATTGACCGTTGGCACATCCCGCCGCCGTGCTGGGGTCGTTGGCTATGGCATATCGGGGACCTGTCGTAAGCCTCTTGGGACCTCCAAGGGAACTCTTGGGGGCCTCTAAGTACCTTTCGGGCGGCTCTTGGGGGCCTGGAGGCTGTCGCTGGGACCATGTGGGGTAGAAGGCCCCAAAGGCCCCGTCGCGCTGTAACGACTCACACCGCAGAAATTTCGAAAGCCGTCAAAAAACAAAAGGTTTTAATATGTTATTTAATGCTTTGGCCAGCCGCCAGAGCCTCCAAGACGGCGCAAGATGCTCGCGAGAAGGACTCTGGACCAGCCCCTGGGACCCTCGTAGAGCACGCTGGAAGTTTAACTCCCAACCACATTCCCATGGCCTGACAGAAAGTCCTGCGACAACCCCGGGCAACGCCATGGGGAAACCAGAGATCCTCAGATCTTGGGGAAGTACTTCAGAGTGTTGCATGTCTCGCAGCATGCTCTTGTGTATACAACGTTGAAAGAAATAGTCGCCTCGCGTAGAGAAGCGGTTGGGTACGTCTCGGATAAGTTCAAAGCGCGGCCCCGGAGGTCCCGATCCCTTTCTTGGGGTCAGCTTTTTCGTCCCGCGTCCATTCTGGATGATCCCAGCAGCTGGCAGCCGGCCCTAGAGGCCGGAAGCGAAGGCAACCGCCTGGATCGAATAACCATATAGTCGGAGATCTGTGCATTTGGAGATCCCCCCTCCTTCCCCCAAGACCCACCGGCCAGGGGGGAGCCCGACGCGGCCGTGGTGCAGCGGGCGCCGCTGTGGCCCAAGAACGGCGCCAAGCACGCCGGAGGGCCAGCAGCCGCCGCGGTCGAAGCGGAGACGGCGGCGCCGTGGGCGAAGGACCCGAGCACACCCCTTCTCTCGCTGCTCCCCGAGCGTCGGGGGGCTCCTCCTCCTCCTCCTCCTCCTCCTCCTCCTCCTCCTCCTCCTCCTCCTCCTCCTCCTGCTCCTGCTCCTCCTCCTCCTCCTCCTCCTCCTCCTCCTCCTCCTCCTCCTCCTCCTCCTCCTCCTCCTCCTCCTCGTCGGGGGGCTCGAGGTTTAGCACGGTAGGCCTCCGAGGCACTGAAGAACGCAGCGCGGAGGTTGATCGTGGTCTTCGGCCTCTGGGGGCCCCCCCGCAGGGGCCCCAGGACAGTCAGCTAACAACTCGGGACGCAAAATTTGACGTGGGGAGGGGGTCAGGACTTTTGGAGACCCGGGGGGCCTTGTTGCAAGGCCTCCTAGATGGGGCCGGGATAGATGGGGTCGGAGGATCGCGCCGCATCGCAGACGCATCGACGATGCGGCTCGATGTGGAGTTTTCTCCGCGCCGACGTGTCGCCGATGCATCGCCGATGCATCGCCGATGCATTGGCGATGCATTGGCGATGCGGCGCGATCCTCCGACCTCATCTGCTCGGACCCCATCTGGGAGGCCTGTATTGTTGGCCACGGCTGGATCCGCCTCGAACTTCTGGCCCGAGTGCACCCCAGGGCAGGTCTGGGCGCCGGTGCTTGAGGGGGAAGAGGGGCCCGGACTTGGAGGGTCTCTCCGAAGGGCTTAGGCGACCCGTCCTCCGCCGCCTCCTCCTCCTCCCCCTCCTCCTCGGGTCGCCTACGGCCCCGGGGGAAACTAAGCACCCAGCCCCCCGGGCGTTGCGGCAAAAGCCCCGCTAGGCGAGTCTTATGTGAAGCCCAGCCTCCTCTGCCGAGAGGCAGCCCCTGCGGCAGGAGCAGGCCAGGCCCGGAGGGCCCATGCCGCGGCAAAGAGCACGACGGCGGTTGTCCGGATGATGCACCCCCTTCGCGTCGGACGAGAGTCAGGAGGGGAATTATTCATTGCGTGGAGTTCCCCATATGTGCATCTATTCGCATAGACCTGTCCGCCGTGAATGTCTAGGCGCAAGAGCTTTCGAATATAAACGGGCTTCAGTTGTGACGGTCTGGACATGAATCTAACTGCGAATGAATTGGAGTGTGAATGAGCCTCAGTAGTACGAGCGCGTCTCTGCGCATGAGCCTGGGGCCTCCTGGGGCCTCCTGAAACCTACTGGGGCTTCCTGGGGTCTCCAGGAGCCTCTTGGGGCCTCCTGGGACCTCCTAGGAAGGTTTCGTGCCCCAGGAGAGGCCCAATATGTAGCAACAGACGTACATAAAACATTGCGGATTAGAGCCACAGGAGAAGGGCAATATATAGGAACACACGTAAAACACCAAGGACTCGTGCCCCAGGAGAGGCCCAATATATAGGAACATAAGTAAAACATGTAGGGTTGTGTACACAGGAGACGGACAATCCATAGAAACATACGTATAACATCAAGGAATCGTGCTCCAGGTGAGGCCCAATCGATAGGAGCATACGTAAAACACATGGGATTGGAGCCACTCCGGTTGCCTTCTGAGGCCTCCTGCTCCTGGGGCCTCTCGGGACCTCCTGTTGCCTTCCGAGGCCTCCTGGCGCTTCCTGTGGCCTCCTGGGGCCTCCTGTGGCTTCCTGAGGCCTTCTGGAGCTTCCTGGGGCCTCCTGGAGCCTCTTGAGATATCCTGTGGACTCTTGAGTCTTTCTGTGGCCTCCTGATGCCGCCTGGGACCTCATGTGGTCTCCTGGGGCTTCCTGGAGCCTGTTGACAATGAAAAGCTCTGAGTACGAGCAGGTCTGAGTATGAGTAAGTCTGGGAACAAGTCTGATTATTAGTTAGTCTGGGCATGAGTGAGTCTCAGCAAGAGTAACTCTGAGTAGGAGTAGGTCTGAGTATGAGTAGGTCTGAGTATGAGTAAGTTTGCGTGTGAGTAAGTCTGGGTATGAGTAAGTCTGAGTGTGAGTCAGTCTGTGTATGAGTAAGTCTGGGTATGAGGAGGAGAGGGGATGAGAAGGAGAAGAAGGAGGAGAAGTCGGCGGCGTCCAAGAAATTAAGCTACCGAGGAACCCCACATATTTATATTATGGCTATAGTGATGATAGCTGACGTGAAGCATGTGAGAATGATGTTGGTGGCCGTTGCCCCGATACCGTTGCATGTCGAGAAAGTGCCACGACTGTTGAGCCCTCAAGAATAGGCGCGTATAGAGACCACGTTGAGGGACCACCCCCTGCCACCTCCCCTGGTGTCGAGAAAGTGCCACGCCTGCTAGGCCCTGCGACATTGGCACGTATAGACACCGCGCTGAGGGCCGCACCCCCCCTGGTGCGGAGAACATACTTCGCCTGCTAAGCCTTGCGACATTGGCGCGTATAGACACCGCGCTGAGGGACCACCCCCTGCGCACCCCCTCCGGCGTCGAGAAAGTGCCACGCCTGCTAGGCCCTGCGACGTTTGGCGCGTATAGACACCGCGCTGAGGGACCTCCCCCTGCGCACCCCCTCTGGTGTCGAGGAAATGCCACGCCTGCTAGGCCCTGCAACATTGGCGCGTATAGACACCGCGCTGAGGGACCACCCCCTGCGCACCCCCTCTGGTGTCGAGACAGTGCCACGCCTGCTAGGCCCTGCGACATTCGCGCGTATAGAGACCGCGCTGAGGGACCACCCCCTGCGCACCCCCTCTGGTGTCGAGAAAGTGCCACGCCTTCGAGGCCTGCGACATTGGCGCGTATAGACGGCCGCGCTGAATGACACCCCTGCGCACCCCCTCTGGTGTCGAAATGCCACGCCTGCTAGGCCCTGCGACATTGGCGCGTATAGACACCGCGCTGGAGGACCACCCCCTGCGCACCCCTTCCGGCGTCGAGAAAGTGCCACGCCTGCTAGGCACTGCGACATTCGCGCGTATAGACACCGCGCTGAGGGACCAACCCCCTGCGCACCCCCTCTGGTGTCGAGAAAGTGCCACGCCTGCTAGGCCCTGCGACATTGGCGCGTATAGAGGCCACGCTGAAGAACCACTCCCTGCGCACCCCCTCTGGTGTCGAAACAATGCCACGCCTGCCAGGCCCTGCGACATTGGCGCGTATACAGACCGCGGTGAGGGACCACCCCTTGCGCACCCCCTCTGGTGTCGAGAAAGTGCCACGCCTGCTAGGCCCTGCGACATTGGCGCGTATAGACACCGCGCTGAGGGACCACCCCCTGCGCACCCCCTGCGGCGTCGAGAAAGTGCCACGCCTGCTAGGCCCTGCGACATTGGCGCGTATAGAGACCGCGCTGAGGGACCACCCCCTGCGCACCTCCTCTGGTGTCCAGAAAGTGCCACGTATGCTAAGCCTTGCGACATTGGCGCGTATAGACACCGCGCTGGGGGACCACCCTCTGCGCACCCCCTGCGGCGTCGAGAAAGTGCCACTCCTACCACGATCTGCCTGTGTTGTCTGTGCTGCGGTGTGCTGTGATGTGCTGTGCTGAGCTGAGCTGAGCTGAGCTGAGCTGAACTGTGCTGAGCTGTGCTGTGCTGTGCTGTGCTGTATGCGTGAGGAGGAGGAGGAGGAGGAGGAGGAGGAGGTGGAGGAGGGGAGGATGGCGGGTGTGGGTGAGACGCGGGTGCGGCGCGGGTGGGAAGAAATCCAAAACCCCACGAAGCATGTGGGGAAGAAAACCAGAACGACAACGACGACGTCGCCAACGAAAACGACGACGACGACGAGGGAGGAGGGAGGACGACGACGGCGGCAACGACGACAACGACGAGGGAGGAGGGAGGACGGCGACGACGAGCACGACGAAGGAGGAAGGACGGCGACGCCGACGACGACAACGACGAGGGAAGAGGGAAGACGACGACGACGACGACGACGACAGCGACGAAATAGGAGGGACGACGACGAGACGCCGACGACGGACGACGACGACGACGAGGGAGGAGGAGGAAGGACGACCACGGCGACAACGACGACGGAAACACCACGACGCCAAAGAGGACGACGACGACGAACACGAGGAAAGACAGAGGACGACGTAGGCGACGACGACGACAACGACGCGGGAGGAGGGAGGACGGCGACGACGACGACGACGACGACGACGACGACGACGCAAGAGCGCGCGCGCACGCTTTTGTTGAAAATCCGTGTTGCGAAACCTTGCGTTGTTGTAGGACTTTTGGACACACGATTTTGAAATCCTTCCGAAACCGATGGGTTCTGAAGGATTTCAGCATACGTGCGCGACGACGCGCGCGTCTGCACTTCGTCTCACTTTTGCAAAGGATTCTCGCGACGGCACACTCGCAAGGGCGTTCGACAGATTTCGACATGCGCGCGCGAAGCCCGTTTGGTAGCATGTTGTGAAAATATTGACAAACCGATGGTTTTCGCAAGATTTCGCAAGAACTCGCGCGTAAGTCTTTTTAGCAAATCAGTGTTGCGAAACCCTGTGCTTTTATATGCTTTTTTGGAAACTCCATTGCGAAGTCCTTCCGACACAGAAGGCTTTTGACGGATTTCGGCATGCGCGCGCGCGACGACGCGCGCGTGTGCACTTCGTCCTATTTGTTGCAAGGGATTCGCGAAAAAGTCTGATGCTAGAACAATAAATGTCCCCGCGTATCGTTTTTTTAGCAAGGGAACCTCAGGGGGGTCGATACCGGCCCCCCTGGGATAGTGCAAAGTCAAATTTAGGGTGGACATGTGGTCATAATCATATATGATTTACATACCCAGAAAGGGGTACGGATAACGCCGGGGTGGGGGGGAAAGAAGAAAAAGAAAAAAACAAAAAAACAAAAAACACGAAAAACAAGAAAACGAGTGGCACAATTCACCCGGCCGAACTAGAGTGGTCAACCCCATTGCTCGCGCAACCATCCCACCCACCCACCCGCAAGTTAGTTTGCAAAGCCCATGCGGCGGCGATTGCCATGACTGCGCGGCGCTGGCTGGCGCGTCGCTGAGGCCGCGCTAACACACGCAGACTCGCGCGCAGAGTG